CTCCACAACCTCACCAGCATTTGTTGCTTGCTGTTCTGTTAAATTTTGCTAGTCTTACTGGGGTGAGATGATATCTCAGAGTTGTCTTGATTTGCATCTGTCTTAGAGCTAGGGATTTTGAACATTTCTTCATGTGTTTGTTGGCCATCTGAATGTCTTCTTTGGTGAAGTGTCTCTTCATATCCTGTGCCCATTTTTCTATTGGATTATTTACCTTTATCTTGTTGTGGGGCTCAAGTATTTTATAAATTCTAGATATAAGTCCCTATCTGACATGCTAATACTGTAATTTTTGTAGAAGTAAAATGCCACATCTTTCTCCTGCAGAATGGCAAGTTGGTTTGAATCATTGACCTCTTGGCTGACGATGAAGAACTTAACCACTGGACCATGAGGGCTCCCAACAGAAACTATAAAAACCAAGGCCCACTGGCATTAATTTGATTCTGATTCATGGTGACCGTCCATCAGGTTTCCCAAGTTCAAACTGTAAATCTTTATGGAAGGAGGCTGCTCATCCTTCTCCTACGGAGCTCTGGGTGGATTTGAACCTCTGTCCTCTCAGTTATGTACTATACCACTAGCAACTGTGGCAGCATGAGAAATACAAAAAAGCAAGTGCAACATCGATGGAACTGACAACAGTGGCAACAGGACCAAGAACATTGACAAACAACAACAAAGACTGGCAGCAACAACACTAATAACATTGGCAACAACAAGAATGACTGGAAGCAACATTGACAACAACAGAGATGACATAAGAAGCAACAGCAGCATCAACCGTGACAGCAACAGTGATATTATTCTATCACTAACAACAATAGCATTAGCAGCACAAACAATGACAACTGCAAAAAACAACAGGAACAACTGTAGCATCGACAACAGTGAGAACAGCAACAATATCAGCAGCATCAACAAGAACAGTGACAATATTAACAAGTGGTAACAGCAGCAACATTGTCGATAATGATCATCAAGCATCAACAGTGCAACCAATATTCACAGCAGCAGCGGCAACAACTACCGCAATAACATCAGCCACATAGACAGTAATAATACCAACGGCAACAACCACCTCAGCTAGCATTTACAGAGCATTTGCCGCACATTGGATTTGCACGATATCATCAAACCCTCACAGCCCTTGTCTGGAAAGATGCAATGAGGTGACACTGAGGAGGAAAGGATATTCACAGGGTTCTCTTGATTCAATAATATAGAACTATCATCCCATGCTCATCAGTTCTGGATTTTAATCCAGCTTCTTTTTCCCTTTTGCCTGGAGCAACACCAGACATGTTCTTTTTTTTTTTTTTTTTACATTTTAAATTGATTTTAATGAAGGTTTGCAGAGACTTTGGATTTCCATTAATTCATTGTTGCACTTTTCTCCCTGCCCACCCCTCCCCCCAATATGCTTTTCTTTTTGAAAAGTAAAAGAAAAATTCTTTCATTGTTATTCA